TACATAATTTATAATTTATACAGTTTAGAGTACTTAAAAAAAACGAATCCAAAATATAGAAGGTTTCATTAGAACTGTAGGGCTTCATAAGATTTAATTATCCTTCGTTCAAAAAAATTAGCTTAGTAATAAGTTGATTTTGTTGAGTTTTGAGAAGTTATTACTATACTAACTTTTTTAAACGGACGATAATTAAATCTTATTTTTGGCTATGGAATCCTACAGCTCTAATGAAACCTTCTATATAGCTTTTTTTTATTTCATTATGATTAGTTTTCGTTTTTTTTTTAAAAACTATAACTGTATAAATAATTTAATATTAAATTGAATTTATTAGCCAATCAGACATGAAAGTGATACATGAGATGCTTATGATGCATTATCAAGAAGTAATATATTGCCATACACATTATTTTCATCTCCTAGATTTATTACGTAGAGATAGAATATTTTTGATAACGATAATCATATTAGAAATGTATCAAAAGCAGCACTTTTCATAAAATTAAACGTCCTCCGTTACGTTCTGGACATAATAATAATAATATATTTACTAATTAATCTAAATTAATATTTTATTAGCCTATCGAACAAAAAATTGAGGGTGCAGAAGAATATTCAAACTCATTAAAAAAAATTATCATTTTTATGCATTCATATATTGAAGCCAAAATCGAAGAAATCAAAAATAAAAGAGAATATTCGCGAATCAAATTGCATGTAGAAACATTCAAGAGAAAAGAAGAATATCTTACGACACTGATTGGAAAAGCCGAATTAAATGATGATGATTACAATCATATTGCATTTTTATTATTTGAGTACCTTATCAATTTAAAGTGTTGGATTGCGATATACATGGAAAATTATCGTTGTGCCTTTGAATATTGGTCTCTTTCAGAATCTAAACTGGAGCTTTCAGTTATTAAAAATTCCAGTGAACACGAGCAAGATATGATCAAAATGGAGCAAGAAGAAATGAGCGCTCACCAGCGATTTGTTAATCGTACCGACTTTAATCTCACAATTAAAATTGATGATGAAAACTGCATAGAGGAATTTAAACGTAATAGATCTGTTACATTTGAAATTCCACTGAATCATCCCAAATTATTAACAATTGATAATGCTCGACTTTATGAGTTTAAAGTATTTTTGAAAGGAGTAGGCTTTGAAGATGATGAAGTCACACTCTCTATTAAGAGCTCAAACGAGTTTTCCGATAAATATAAGGGAATAAATTATCATTTTAAAACTGTGGCCAGAATAAATAATGTATTTTCGTATAAAGTAAGGGAAGGAAAAGAATCGGGCGACGTATTAGCTAGTTTTAAGTATAATGAAGAAGATATTTTTTTTAAACCAACCCCTTTTAGTAAATGGAGAATTGAGCTTAAAAACAAAGATCTAAATTTATCTGAGCTCAGTTCATTTAAATTAGTAATGATAGGACGTGGTTATATTAGTGTAAGTTTAATTATCTTAATTCTTGAAATAGTTGTTCCTGTATATGTTTTATGATTGACATTTCAATATGTTGGTTAGCTTAATGAAAGCATCGACTCAAAATTTTAATTTTTAGACCAACTTTTTCAATAATATGCATATACATTGTTCATTTTCAGAATATACTTTAACTAGATTATTTTTTTTATACAACAGGAGAGAGATGAGCTTCCTAATTTTCATTACCAGTTATGTGACGACATAAATTCGAGCTTTAAGAATTTTTATCCGACCAAATGCATGTCATGGCATCGTTAGAAAAGCATAAAGGTTTAATAGTACATATGCTGTAAGGAATTTTTTGTTAGACACCAAAGTGGTTTTATAAATAAAATTTAAGTTACTAGTTTTTAAACATTTATCTTATGGAAACGACAAGTGACGTAGTCTACTTCGTTCAAGCAGAGACAACTTTTACACACACTCAGTCAGAACTGGTGGGAGTCCCGGGAGGATGATATGAAATTCTGAACTTGTAATAACTATAAATTTATATATATTATTAAATTCAGATATATAGATTTTAAAAATATGATTGTAAAACATACACAAAGTTTTTGCTATTATACTCTCTGTACATTATATATATTGTTAAATCGCGGACCCTAATATAGATCTAATTCCGCAAATTTGCCGACATGGCCATATTATGTTTATTTAATTAGTTTTTAGTTTATTTTAATAAAATTATTATGTATCAGTAGTCTTATTATCAGTGATGTTATTCCGTAAATTATATTTAATATAAATTGTAATGCTTAACTGTAGTTTTGAATAAACTATTGTTTCTCTACTCATTATATTGCAAACACATCGTTTGTGACTCATTTGACATATTTATATTGACCCACCTTAAAAAAATTTCATCTTTTTTGACCTATGTGTTATAGTGTTACGTGATTGCAATCTATATAATTCGATTGCATAATTAATATGTAATAAATTAAAAGTGTATTGAAGCTTATATTAATTAGATACAAAAATGCTATAATTTATAAAAGACAAAATTAATAAAGTAAGTTCTCTGTTAAAAGAGAAATATAACGACGTTAAAAAAGAAAATATAATGACATATACTATAAAACGTTTTATAATGACCAATACAAGAGCTGTTCATTATATTAAATATATTCTCATTGAGAAATTGTAATCAATTAAAATCATTAGATTTTAATTGATTATTATCACATTTATTAATTAAATACAATGGAGATTTTATCAATCATAATAATTACAAATAATTTCATATCAATTATGATTAATTATTATTTAGTCAATTAATACTTAATATTAATTATTATCAATTTTTTAATCAATTAACAACCAATATTAATTATTATTAATTTTTTTAATTAAGAACAATCTTCTTTGTAGTTTGTAATTCATATTTATTTTATTTAAATATTTTTTAATGTTACTAGATATGATTTATTATTTTGTTGATAATTTTGTATAATTTATAAAAATTTTTTTCTTTTGGACAGTTTTGTTAAAATTCTTAATTAAGATTTTATATTTTATACTTATATTCACCAAATAATGACAGCATAACAATAACATAATAGCAGAATAGTAGAAGGTTTGTCAATATGAGTAATATAATAGTAACATAATAGCAAAATAATGGAACAGTTCTATTATTTTACTTTTAGTCTTTGTAACTAAAAATAAATTAATAGAACTATTCTATTATTTTGATATTATATTATTATTATGTTACTTATATTGAAAACTCTTTGTTATTTTACTATTATACTACTGTTATGCTACTGTTATGTTGTCATTATTTGATGAATATAGGATAGAATAATGACAGTTTTTTTTCTATTATTTAACTATTATTCACCTTTTATTCATTTTTTTAACCTGTATTTATTTAGAAAAGTAATTACTAATAACTAATTTGACAATTTTATATATTAATTTTTTGGTGATAATAAACCAAAATATTTATTTTTATAAAATTTTTTAAAGAAAATTTGAATAATAAAATTATATAAAATTTTTTTGTATAGATTTTATATTTATATAATAATTATTCTGAGTTTTTAATAATTCTGATTTGAGTTTTTTATAATAGTATTCAAAAAACTTTTTAGTTTGAATATTAAATAAAAAAATTTTTAGAAAAAATAATTTTATTATTCTTAAAACTTCTATTTATAAATATACTTTTTAGTATATTATATTTTTTAGATTTATTAATAATAATTTATTTTATATAGAATCAAAAATATTATCTTTTTGTATTTTGTTATAATAGTTTTTTGTAATTCAGTTTTTAGTATTATTAATAAAAGATTATTAAAAAAGTTTTTTTTTTTTTTATATTCACAGGTTGAATGAATAAATAAAGAGTGAATAATAGGTAAATAACAGAAAAAAAATCTGCCATTATTTTACCCTATATCTGCCAA